CAGGAGGACATGCTGGCCGACTGCAGAGCTGATTATGATAGGAGATTAGGGACAGGGGATCCCCTTCAAGCACTCTCATCGATTATCCAATCAATTCTCGTTCATCAACGAACTTATAGAAATGGCAGGACTCAAGCCACATCCCTCCCAAGTACGAGAAGCTGAACAAAATGACTTTCGAGTCGAGAAAATTTGATCTCCTCAACTTTAGAAAGTATGAGTATAGAGTCAGTGAGAGCAGTGAAAGTGATGTGGAAATTACCAGGCACCTTCGTAGTGGAGGGACACTTGTATGAGGCAATTTAGAATTATTATTACGGTAACGGAGAGAGCGAATAGTCAGACTCTGCACACAAGCTGCAGGAATCTAGTATTTTGCCGTGAATAATTCCGAGAGAGATGCTTTTTAATGAACACAGCTCACTAAGGTTGTTAGGCTCTCAGGACTAAGAATTCTTTGCCAGCATTATGCTATATACATTATGGGGATGAGATAACAGCTACCTAAGCACTATAGAAGTGAGGTCAAGTGTAATGCTATACCTCAATTGCTGTGCATATTCACTGGACGGACATGTGACTTCGCGGGGCGGGAACCTAGCTAGTATACAAGTATACACGGAGCAATACGGGAAATGCACATTCCATCCCCATAAGGAAATAACAGCCCTTTGTTCTTTTGAGTGGGGCATCCGAGAGCAAAAAGATACTTCTCCTTCGTCAGAAGAACTGTCCGTGAGTGATTTTTAGGTGTCTGGGATTATCTCGCGTCTGAATCTTTCGTGGCGGTTTCGCGAGCACGACTTGTTTTTAGGGCGTGGCGCCGCGGCTTGTAAAACGAAGCTATGGCATCATCTGGCCAGGCGTCGTCGTCCTTGGGTGACGATGATTTAGGAACTTTACACAGAGCCCTTTATCCTGCGAGAAACAGTTACAAATCACTTGGTTTACAAATCAGGGGTGAAAATTGGGGAAATAAAAAGTATCGAGAGTGAGTCCACCGACAATGGTGAGAGGCTGCTCGGAGTACTGTCAGTCCGCCTGAAGAAGGCAGAGCCCCTCACATGGAACGACATTGACTCAGCACTGAGGCTGGATTGCGTAGGTGAGGGTAAGACAGCAGATGGCATCAGACAGAAATATGGCGTCTCTTTAGCCCTGACCCTAGCAGTGTTGCTCAAACACACCAAGAAACGAAGGAGGAGAAGATGAAAAAGAAGAGAGGAAAGAAGGGGAAAGGTCGCCCTATTGTCTAGAGAGGAGCGATAGAGATTCAGGTGGGGCGGTAGGTAGGAGGGCGGGCGGGAAGAAATCAACTTCAGAAAGTAGCGAGGAATCTTCCAGTTCAAGCAGCGAAGAAAAAGAAGCAATTGTAAAACAAAAGAAGGTAAGGAAAAAGGCAAAAGGGCCTTCGGGGAGTGTAGGAGTCTTGCCGAGAAAGAAAAGAGGTACTAAAAGGAAAAGAGAACAGCATATTAAAGTAACATCGCAAGAATCTGACCGCGAATATGAAAGGGAATTACCAATGTCAAACAAAGCAAAAAAGAGAAAGAAAAAGGCAAAAAAGAAATCCAGAAGAGACGAGATTTCGAGTGATGATCTAGACCATCAATACACAAGTCAGAGAAGTAAGAGAAAACCACAGGTGTTTGAAAGTGACAATGAGTCTTCTGCCACAAGTAGTGAAGAAGAAATAGTAAGTCATACTGATACAAGAAGAAAAGAAGGCAAGGCGAAACCATCTGCTAATTATGCAGAACAGTCAAAGTCAATCCAAAGAAAGGAATGGCAAGCACAACAGGGAGGGAAAGAACGAGTTCCGCGAAAGTATAAAAAAGGTCGAGATAGAGCACATCTTGATAGAGAAGTTAGTAAAATGTCTCGCCATAAACAAAAAGAAGTGAAATCAGAATCAGAATCTGAAGAGGACTCGGCCTCTACCAGTGATGAGGGTGAGTCTTCCGAACCAAAACAGAAGACAATATCAACTCCATTACCCAGTGGGGAGGTAACTGAAGAGAGAGTTATTAAAAGGAAAACCACTGGAGGAAAAGGAACGAAAGATGTATTGGAGCACGCCGAAGAATACGAAGTAAGTGAAGACACGAACCGATCCAAAAATGAAGGTAAACGAAGGAAAAAAGATAGGGTTAAAAAGGGGGAAATGAAGGAAGGGAGAAAGATAACTAGCTCTAGTTCCTCTGAAACTGACGACTCTTCACCCGAGTGCGACGTAGGCAGAATTTTATCCGAATCCGAGAATAAAAAACTTGTAAAAGTTTTTAAGTGTAATTACGGCAAACTCTGCTATGCAATCAAAGATCCAAACGCAACTGCCGTTCAACTGCAAGCGAAACGTCTGCTGTCACGTTCTAAACTGAAAAATGTACTAATATCTCCCGAATCCCAACAAGTGAAGGCCATTGCTTTAGTTCATGCTCTTTACCGGAAAATTAAGTCCCGTCCCGAAAAGGTATTCACCGTCAGTGAAGTGTGTTTGCACAACGAATCTCTACAAGAAGTAGGAACAGAGATGTCAATAGAAATTGGTAAGTGGTTTATTCCCAGTATTGTAGGTGGCAACTACTATACTTTTTCTTATACATTTTCAGGAAAAGTTTGTCCTGACCGGCAGGCCTCAGTTTTTAGTCCTCCTGAAATACTACCAACTGCTGAGTCAGATACAGGTAAAGACAAGTGGAGTAAAATACCTTCCAAGTTTCCCCACCCATTCAATTTGCAGATACGACACCACTGTAGGCACCCCTCTAATACAGCATGCCTGGAGTTGATCTCCTTATAAACCTCCTGTGCTCATGTTGTAGACATGTGTACAGTGTATAGTTCCAAAGCCATGCCTCCATAATTATTAGCAAGTTGCGCATCCTCACAAAGTCTCATCCAAATTTTGTCATTGAAGCCATCCAAGGGGTGGTGGGGGACTTGGTGTAGATGTACACTGTAATGATTACAGCATTCTCTTGATATCATGCAGGTGAAACACCAGCAAAGAAAATGCACCAACCATTACCTATCGCTTCCTTCAGTGAAGCCAGCAGTATATCATCATCTGTAAAAGTGAGTATGTCAATACCACAGTTAGGCCCCAGTCCAGTATTGACAAAGTATAAGGAATATCTGAAAGCATGCTATGCTGCTAAACCCCTTGCTCCGTCAGACAAGTATCTCCCCACTCTCGATGCCCCGTACATCAACCTAGCCATGGTTGGTAGGGAAAGCTATAATCCTGAGCAAAGAGATGAGTTTACTAGACAAACACTGCATGGAGGAGTAGACCAGATTCTTCATAGTAAGACACCTATTAGCATAGAAGACTTGCTGACTCCAAAAGAGGGTGGAAAGCCAGTCAGGTTCGTTCTTGTAGAAGGTCCTCCGGGAATTGGCAAGAGTACCTTTGCCTGGGAGGCATGTAGGAGATGGGATGAGATAGAAAGCCTCAGAGACTACCACACTGTGGTGCTGCTCAAGTTGAGGGAAAAGTGGGTCTTGAATGCCACTTCACTTTCAGATCTCCTAAGATATCCATCCCACCCTGACTTCAGTGAAAGCATTGCTAGTGAACTGGTGGAATCACAAGGGAGAAACGTTCTCCTGGTTTTAGATGGTTTTGATGAGGTGTCTCACAGTTTCCATGAGAACTCTGTCATAAAAAGCGTTCTATGCAGGCAACTCTTGCCAGAATGTACCATCATTCTCACTACTAGACCATCAGCCAAGTACACACTGGAAAGTATCTGCCAGCCTCGAATTGATAAACATGTAGAAATAATCGGGTTCACAGAGGAAGAGAGAGTGCGGTATATCACTGAGGTATTTAGCAAGGAACCAGAGCTTCAGGTGAATTTCTTGAAGTACATGTTTCTTGTCCCTCACATAAAGTCAATGATGTACATTCCACTCAACTGTGCCATTATAGCACAAGTCTATTACGAGTCTCAGACTAGCCGCCAGCTTGCTATACCAAAAACAAGAACACAGCTGTACAAGGCACTCACTCATTCTCTTCTTGTCAGACACATGAAGATGAAGAAAACCGATTATGAGGCTACATCCAATCTCCCAGAAGGTTTAAACAAAGAAGATATGAATGCATTTAAGACTTTAGCTAAGTTTGCATTTGATAGCTATCATGAAGGTGAGTCAAGGAAGATAACTTTCTTCAAAGAGCATATCCCTGAGGGATTAATTCATTTTGGCTTCATGAATGAATCCACTGAAATGTATGCTGGCAAAGGAGTGGAGCGAACATTCTCATTTCTCCACCTCAGCCTGCAGGAATACCTGGCAGCTTGGCACCTGGCTAAGAGCTACAGCATTGAGTTTCAGTGGCTTATCATAGGCTGGCATTAGATAAGTATAGAGACACGTCACTTTTGTACAAAGGTGACGATAAAGGGGAAGAAACTCTCTTTTTATCACTACAAAAGCAGTGGGGGTTGTCACTAGAGGAGCCAGCCATATTCCTGGCTGGTATCACAGGCTGGAGATGCCAGTCAGAGGATGGCAGGAACCCCTGGGAGATGTATCTCAGTCATGACACTGCTGATCTAACTGATATGTATAGCACGAGAGTTTTGTTCCGGTCTCTCTATGAGGCTCAGAACCCAACCCTCTTACCCACACTATTTTTCAGCTGAGACTTTGCACGATACTGACGAACTTTGATAGAGGATGGGCTTCCCTCACATAGGAGGATGGTTTACATTGATTCTAATGTAACACCATATGATTGCTATGCTCTTTCATACTGTGTAGCACATTCCTCAGATAGGTTTGCTGTATACGTTGACATCGAAGAAGATGACATTTCTCTTGTTGAGACATTTACCAAAGGTCTTGATGACCACTCATGTGAAACTACCTCATCAAAAGCTAGCCATCTTTCTTTTGACACTGGTACTGTTGAAGGTGTCCTTTTTTGGATCATGCGAAGTAGTTTCTTTTCTGACGTTGAAATGGTATATTTGTATTCAACTTTCTTAAACTCTTCTCTTGCTCGTACATTTATACAATCCCTTGTCAAGCTTCAAATACTACATATTCGTTCTTGATTCACAAACAACATGGGAGTCTCTTGCTGCACTAAAGTCCTTATTTAGTAAACTGAAAGTATTGCGCCTTTATAGTGAAGAGGAATGCAATCCTCCACCATCTGATCTTGTTTGGTGGCCAGAAGAACATAAACTGACAAAAATAGAGCTTGATATCAAATTCTCCTCCGACAAAGTAAATGATGTTCGCAGTCCAGCAGATGTACTGGTTGACTCTGTACTTAAATCAGTTCTGAGATCAACTCATATTATTACTAAAATTGTGTTGTCCAACGTATCACGTGAGACCATGGCTGGTGTCCATAGCATCTTACTACACTGTCCCAGTCTCACCACATTGGAGCTGAAGAGAACCAGACTGGGCTATGATGGAATCCTCTACATATGTAGTACACTGAGAAACAACACAACATTAAGACATCTTGCAATTCATGATGATCTTGAACTGCCACCTTCCAGGAGAAGAAACTGGGTGATATTACCACTTTCTCATCCATGGAGAGAGTTCCTCTGCCTAGTAAGACTACCTGCACTGACTTCCTTCTGGAACTAAACGACATTCTCAAGGACAACACTACTCTGGAAGAGATGAACATCCAGTCTGGATTATTCCTCCCTCTCTCTGCTGGTAAATATGAGAATTTCCTGGTGTGTATGTTGAGTGTCGTCAGTGGACAGGACTTGGACCTCTTCAACAGTTCAATGTGGGGGCTGTCCGTAGTGGCATGTCTCCTAATCTCAAGAGATCATTCTCATCTTCAGACCTGACTCAGCCACAGACTCAACTCTTCTGGGACAAACAGTATATTAGTCGTGAACAGAGCCAGGAAGTTAATTTCAATAGCTTATTTTTCAAGAGAAAGGAGAAGGGGAAGAAGTTATTCTCTCTTCCCTCATTCACTGCTCCAGACACTGCAGTTCTACAGTCATTCTCTGGTCTAGACCCTCGTCTCAAGGAGTGTCTGAAGATATCTCAACTCCATCAGTATGTGGAGACTCTGAAGAACACCTATGTGGATTACTGTCTGAAGTACATTCCATAAGCTTACGTAATACATAACAGTAACACAATGGCTACAATAAGACCAACTGTTACAGTAACAGCTAACACAATGGCTACAATAAGAATGCACTTATAAATGGGCAGCACAAAACAACTGGCAACTCAGTCTTCATAGTTATCTGTACACACACAAGTGATAACGAAAATGAACAAGAAAAGTATGTGGTGTGCTTTTTGTTGAAAGGAACATGACAGCAATAATTATTATGAGAACATGACATGGCCTAGATAGAAAAGTTGTGGGACAAAAGGAATGAAGGGGAGAGATGTCGAAAAGGCAAAGATTGTGTGATATCATTATACACCAGTGTGTGCTCTAAAGTTGTACATGTTTGTTTTTTCATGTAATTGCCAATCAAAACACGTCTCACGTGCATTCATAGTCGGAAGGTTGGAGCCTTGTATCAAGTACACGTCATGGGTGGTTTTGATGGACCAAGTTTTGTGTCAAAAGACTTCTTTGTGGGTGTGCACCTGGTAATAGTGTTGGAGCGCAGCATGATTGGAGCACATGTACAGCATGCATGATTGTGTACCTCCCACTTTCTGCCCTCTAATAAGAGCACTCTATAGACAGGTAGTTGCATACGGTCAAGAGCACAAAAGAGCGACTGCTATTATGGTGGTAGAGAAGAGCTGCACGTTGACCTACTTTCAACTTCATTCTGGCTCCGAAGGAAGGGCCTTATATATACATGCCAGGAATGGTGACTTGCACATCACATGTATAGCTACTATGATGTTTGTTGTGCCTTTGCCTTTCTACGTTTTTACATGCATATTATACTTGGCTTAGAGTTGGGTGTCAGTTGTCAGGTGGTTTAATTAACCTAAGTGAGAGTGTACTGTGCCATAGCACAGTGGTTTGAGGTTTGCCTTCTGTTGTACTGTGTTGTAGATTCGAACCCCTATATACCAGCGGAGTTGCCCTGGTAGCTCAGTTGGTAGAGTGCTCGCCTAGACTGCAGAGTGTGGTGGGTTCGAATCCCACCTATATAGGGCAGCTCGGAAAAAAGAGCTGTCCTGGGTGTAGTTGGTTTGTTTGTTTGTTGTGCATTTGCCTTTCTACCTCGTAGTTTTCACATGCGATTGCACAATGGCGATTGCTTTTAGTCAGCATCTGGGAGAAGTCATGTGGTGCTATTTTAAAGGCATTGGCAGTGCATATCTGGTGTACAACTGTAAACCCATGCTGTATATATTATAGCAAGCCACTGCACCTCCATCGCATGCACTTTTCAAATGTTATGAACAATTTTGCCGATGTCTCCTCACACCATAGGACACACACTATTGCATATGGATTGCTTACGAAAATAGCCACTGCACGCAGAATGGTCACATGCTGAGACTGATAACTGGGGGAATAGGAATAACATTAGCAGTCCCTGACTCCCCCAAGACATTCCTGGGGAAGACAACTCCGGTAATCTCCCACTAAAACCTTTTGTTCCTCCATCTATATTATATCGCACCCCAATTCCACAACAATAAAGTCGCCGAGGTAATGTAGAAAGCAACTGCATTTACAGCACATGTATAAGCACAGAGATACGCACACAGTATACAGACGGGGGAAAGAAAACCAAGCGTGAGTACATTGCTATGTCAGTGTGGGACGACGATGATAACAATACATTGAGAGAGATGCAGTCCATATCACATGAAGTATTGAATGTCTAGGACAACAGGAGAGAGCTACTCGTGACCACATATTAAGCCACACATGTACATGACAACAGACCATAGAAAAGAAAAGACCGGGAAAGAAACGCCGTGAGCAGCAAACTTCACGTGCCCTCTGTACAGTACAGTACACCCACACCAGTCAGTAGAGAAGTATGAGAACAATAGTGGGACTTCTGAGGAACGACTGTGACGACAGCACCAGGTAAAAACAAAAAAAAACAGACAATAATAGGAGGCTATGGGCGGCAGAATGCACTAGAGATCCAGCATGGACGAGAGGAGTTGGGACGGGAGTTCGTCGTTCAGATATGTCAGTAGGTTTAGGTCGTCGGCATCTTCTAGACCATCGAAAAGATTCTGCAGGGAACAGTCGCAAAGATGTACATCGATATCATTAAAGGGAAAGTGTCGGTATTTATAAGGGCTAAATTTTGGGAACAGTGTACAGGGAAGAGTCACAAAGATGAACATCATTAAAGTATTTG